CTCTACCACTGAGCTGCAAACCTAGCTTTAGACCCAACTTCTTAAAGGTTCTATCCCCTCCCTACAGAGCCACAGGCTAAGGACTAAGCCTTTAATACATGGACTTCTGGGTACAGTTATCCAAACAGTAGCATTAGCAATGTGGAAATAATAGAAGGGAGTTTATTTAATCTGACATAGGACACCTATAAAAACAATTTCCAGTTAACATACTTAATGGTGAAAGACTGAATGTTTTTCCCTTAAAATCAGGAACATGGCAAGGATGTCTACTCTTACCAGTCTTACTCAGCAGAGTACTGGCAGTTCTAGTTAATATAATAAAGCAAGAAGTAAAAGGCATTGGGAACAGAAAGAAAGCAGAAGACTGTTCCTAGACAACAAAGTCTATGACAATCTACAAACAACAACAATAAAAAAAAAAAAACCTCTGAAAACAAATAAACATGAAATGGTTACTGTCACTTTAAAAACCAGTTTTTACTCTGAATTTTCTACCTCTAGATCCTTACATCAAACTTCCAACTGGATATCTTTACCTACTTGTCTGAGGAACTCCTAAGGCTCAGATTTCTGAAGCTGATTTATTATTCTCTCTCCAAATTTGGCCTTTAAAAAACAATTCCCTCCTCTATTTGGTAATATTCCAATTTACTTACTCTAATTTTTATAGATTTCCAATATTGATTTATCTATCCACCTAAGCTATAAAAATATTCATCACAGACTCCCTTCTTTCTCATCCTCTAATTGGTCACTTAGGGTATCAGTTAATATGTTATGAAACAAGCTGCCCCAAGTCTAGAGGCTTAAAATAATTAAAAAAAAATGGAGGTGGGGATGAGTACCAGGTATTGAACTCAGGGGCACTCAACCACAAAGCCACTCTCCAGACCTATTTTATATTTTATTTGGAGACAGGGTCTCACTGAGTTGCTTAGTTCCTCACTTTTTTGTTGAGGCTGGCTTTGAACTTGGGATTCTCCTTCCTCAGCTTCATGAGCCATGGGGATTACAGACATGTGCCATTGTGCCCTGCCAAAATATATTGTATGTTTTGTCTTTGTGTTGCCTCATTGACCCTTCTCGTCTGAAGCATCTCAGTTGGAGCTGGATTGTCTAGGATGGCCATACATACATCCTAGACAGTTGGTCCTCAACTGGGAAGACCAAGAGAGCTGAGACAGGGCCTCACTACAAATGATCCCTTATCTTCTAAGAGGCTAGCCTTGAGTTGCTGGCATGGTTGCCAGCAATAAGTGTTAAGTCTCAATGTGCAAGAATTTTTCAAGCCTCTACTAACATAACAATTACTATTACTGTGGCAAAGGAAGTCATGTAAATTATTTTAAAAAGAGACTATTCAAGGGCTGGGGTTGTGGCTCAGTGGTAGAGCACTTGCCTAGCAACTGTGAGACCCTAGGTTCGATTCTCAGCATTGCATATAAATTTAAAAAAAAAATATATATATATATATATATATATATATATATATAGATCTATTGACAACTAAAAAGGAAATTAAAAAATTAAATCCAAGGGTATGGATACAGGTTGGTGTGAAAAATTGGTGTGGCAAGTGGGAGGAGGTGAGGGGCATAACTGCAACAATCCACCACACTTAATCCTATTGATTCTTTCTCCTTTAAACTTCTCCAATCTTATACTTCCTTTTGAATTCTACTTGACAGACAAGTTCAAGACCTTATCTAACTGAACTACTTATAAAAGTCTCCTAATTCAGCTTGCATTGTTACACTGTTAGCATGTGAGTTTTCTGGAAAACAAATCTGGTCACAGATAACTGGTGTTTAAAACTCAGTATCTCAGCTGGACACAGTAATTGTTATGTTGCAGATGGCTATAACACACAGTGGTGTATGCCTATAATCCTAGCAGTTTGGGAGGCTGAGGCAGGAGGATCACAAGTTCAAAGACAGCCTCAGCAATTTAGCAAGACCCTGTCTCAAAACAAAAACTAAAAAGGACTGAGAATGTGGCTTGGTGGTTAAGGACCCCTAAGCTCAATCCCCAGTATGAAAAATAAATATATAATAAAACCCCACAATATCTTCCCTTTGGCCACTAGAATAAGCTAGATAATAAACTTCTCCATGAAGCTCTTGAAATCTTTTATTTTCTAGCCCCCACTTTGCAAAGTTGAAAACTTAGTCCTTAAAGGACCATGGTATTTTGTTTTTCTTTTTGGTACTGGGGACTGAACCCAAGGGCACTTCACCACTGAGCACATCCCTATTCCTTTTTTGTATTTTATATATAGAGAAGGTCCGAGTTGCTTAGGGCCTTGCTAAATTGCTGAGACTGGCTTTGAACCTCCTGCCTCAGTCTCCTGAGCATCTGGGACTACAGGCATTTACTACTTTGCCCATCCGGCCATAGTATTTCAATACCATCACTCTCCACTTAATGTTGTTTCTTATCAAGAATGCCCAGCTCATGGGGCTGGGGTTGTGGCTCAGCTTGCCTAGCACATATGAGGCCCTGGGTTCTCTCCTCAGCACCATATAAAAAATAAACAAATAAAAAAGATATTTTTTTAAAAAAAGAAACTATAACTTAAAAAAAATGCAGAGGCACACACCTGTAACATGAGTGACTCAGGAGGCTGAGGCAAAAGGATGGCAAGTTCAAAACCAGCCTCAGCAACTTAGGCCCTAAGCTACTTAGTAAGATCATGTCTCAGAAAAAAAAAATAAATAAAAGAGTTGGGGATGTGGCTCAGTAGTAAAGGGTTCTCTAGGTTCATTCCCAATAGCATAAAAAAAAAAAAAAAAAAAAAAGCCCATCATTGCTCGCATCCTGGCAAATTTCAAAGTTTTCCTCAGTCTTTCTCTCCAATGCCATAAATTTAATGAAGTGTTTCTTGCCTGACAAAGTTATAGGATCCCAACTTTTACTTCCATTGCATTTCACACAACCTTCAACAATTATACTGTTTACTTTAATACAATGTAATTGTTTGTTTGTATGTCTAACCACTTGTTTTACTATTGGATAGGGACATCTTTTTTATTATCTATTTCTCCCATGCCTAGTACAATTCTTGGCAGTAAGTAAGCAGCAAGTGCTTTTTTTTTTTTTTTTTGTAATGTTTTATTTTTTAGTTTTAGGTGGACACAATATCTTTATTTTTATGTGGTGCTGAGGATCGAACCCAGTGCCTCATGGGTCCTAGGYGAGCATTATACCACTTAGCCACAACCCCAGCTCACAAGTGCTTTTTTAATTAATCAAAATCAAATGCCCATTCCAGCATTCCAAATGCCAGTGGAAAGAATATTTACCAATCTGTGGGCTACTAAGTCATATCTCAACTTGGTGCTCTTCTTCAAATACTACCTTTTAGTTGTTATTGAAATGCAGTACCAAATGCGCTAATAAACCTCCAATATTCACTGACATGCCTTCAGTGTGTTATGTTAAAATTAGAATGCAAACATTAGATATGCTAAATTTACTAATGTGCCAAATATTCCAAAACTACTAATGTACTGACAGTATACTGGTTCTCCATTATGGCTGAGGCTAGACTGGAGAGATTGCTTTATTTATTTTTTTCCTGTTTACTAAATCCTCACACATTTTCATGTTTAAAATAAAAATATTCAGAGTTGGGAATGTAGCTCAGTGGTGCATTACTTGCCTAGTATGCACCAGGCCCTGGATTGGACCCCCAGTACTGCAATAAATAATATGATAAAAATAAAAATATCCATGTAGTTGGGATGGTAGACTATACGTAAATAAATTTTCCAAGAAAATTTACTACAGTTCAGAGCCTGGCCCTCAGGTTTACTGACCCAAAAATCTAATTTGTCAAAAAGTTCAGTGAAGCTTGGAGACTTAAGCACAAAAGGGGCGGGGACTAGAAAGAAAGCAGCAGCTGTGCTGTTAATGTCTTAATCGACAGTGAGAGGCGGACTGGTTTTGAATTTTTTTAAACATGCTTTTCTACTCAAGGCAAATGATCTGGTAATAGAACTCATATGATTTTAGCACACCCTCAAAGTAGATAATTGAGGTTAAACAGAGAATTCAATTGTACTGGGAGAAAATAAGGTACAATTTCATGGTTGAAAGTCACACAGCAGCAACTTTGGCAAGTGAATGGTTTTAAAGCAGGTAGTGACCAATAAAACAAAACATCATTTTCATTAGACATTCAATGATAGCTTGTATGGGTATGTAAACTTATCTACTCTAGTGAGGAAAGACTGACCTGGCTCCCATTCTTCAGTCCACCTCACAAGGAATATTTAATTTCAAGAAATATGGAAGGCTTTTATTTATTTGACAGCAACTCTAGAAATGCCAGGTAATGCTTGGCGTGGTGGTGCACTCTTTTAATCCCAGCAGCTCAGGAGGCTAAGGCAGAAGGATCCCAAATTCGAGGCCAGCCTCCGCAATTTAGCGAGATTCTATCTCAAAATAAATTAAAAGGGCTGGGGAAGTAGCTCGGTGATTAAGTGCCCCTGGGTGCAATCCCCAGGCCAAAAGTAAAAATAAATAAATAAATAGCAAATAGAAGTGCCAGGTAAAAACAAAATGTAGAGAGCAGCAGTTCGGAACGGAAAGGCTATATTGGCGGCTGTGGAGGTCACGCGTGGAATACATTCAGAACCACATAAACTACATCTCCGTTGTTCTTCCTGTTAACCGCCCCGCCCCCGCGCCCGTAGTAACCTTTCCACTTAGAACAATAGTGGATTAAGAGAATGACAGGAGGGCAGAAACGCTCTCCACACTCCGCGGAAGGCGGCTTTCTCAGTCTCTTCGGTCCCCCGCAAACCGTCCAGCACTTCAGATCCCGCGGGGCCTGGTTCGCTCGCCGCAACTTGGGCCTGAGAGAAAACCTAGTTTGGTTAAACTTCGCCGCCAGCCACAAGTGGGTCAGGAGCGTCGGTCGCGAAACCCGAACCCGGAAACCCCAGCGCTCCCGCCCCGCCCAGCGCCGCTCTTCCGGAGACGCGCCGAGCCCCGCCAACGTGGCTGCCCCGCTTGGGTTGCGGCAGGCGAGACGCCTCGGGAAGGGGGGGAGGCTGGGACAGCCCTCAGCGTCAGGCCCCGCCTCCGGAGGCAGGTTCCTGGAGCCTGCGCGCTTTTAACCTCAAAACGTCCAGCACCTCGGGGCCGTGTGCTGTGGTAGACTGGCAGCATAGACTCAAGACGTGAGGCAACGAACTGTTAAGGGCTCGCGTCCGCGGGCCGTCCCCAGGCGCAGGCCCTGGCAGCGGCGTGCTCCAGCCGCTCGCCTATCCTCGGCGCGGCGCAGAGCCGGCGGGGGCGGGCCGCGCGCCCGAGGACGTCCGGGGAGCGCGCGCGCCGCCGCCGAGCCGGGCCCGAGTTGCTGGCCGTGGGGCTTGAGCGTGATGGCTCTGACTCTAGGGCTGGGGGCGGCGTGCGCTGCTGTTCCTGCCGTCGCTGCCGAGGCCTCCGTCCGCTCCTGGTCATGAGAGGTCAGGCCTGGGGGAGGCGGGGGCAAGGGGCTCCAGGGAGAATAACCGGGCCGCCGGATGCTCGGACGTGGGTGGAGACCTGTGCTCGGGGATTCCGGAAGAGTTGTTGATGTTCACTTTGATTCCTTTTCTCTCCTCTTTTTTATCTGTGCGTGGAGGAGAGTGGGAGGGGCCTGTTTTTATTTATAGAAAACACATAAACCATCCTGTCCAAAGTCGCTCTTGAGATTTGAGGAAATAAAGCGCACCGTGGCATCGGAGCCTGGGTGCGAAGCCTTCCGCGAAAAGGATCAAAACCCAAACCGCCACAGGGTAATTGCACAGCGTTCAAGCCAAGGCATAAGACAGAATGACACAGAACATGCCCTGTCGTTAACTCTAGCTTCCTCCTAGAGAAACGGGAAAAGCAGACAGTCTGGGATAGGCTTTGCGTTTTGTCAGCTGGCATTGCGATTCCGGCATCGAGCTGCTAGGAGATCCACGCTGGGTCATTTAGGAACCTCCCTGCCAACGTCCTCATTTCTGATACCCTCACCCCACCTTCCGCAACACACACACCACCGATGGTGGCATTTTTATTCCATACACTGTGACTATCTTCATTCAGACTGAAGTATCACCTAGCATTACATGTGACTCCCCAACTTATCCCTATTTTGAAGATATTTAGGGAACATTCTTTTAGGAGGGGAAGTCGTATTCTTGGTAGCACCATTAATATATTCGCTTTGGGGAAGCTCTTTCAGCATAAGATAAAATTTATACTTCATCTAAGTGAGATGTTTATTATCTATAATGATATTTAAAGCATTGAAGTTTAATGGAAATTTTTTCTTTCTTCCTAGCATTTCCAAGTATTAAAAAATACTGAATCAGAGCTGGGGTTGTGGTTCAATGGTAGAGCACTTGCCTCACATGCATGGAGCGCTGGGTTTGATCCTAAGCACCACATAAATAAATAAAAATAATCGTGTCCATCTACAAATAAGAATTTTAAAATATTAGAAAAAAAATACTGAATCACTCTTCATTCTGAAACTTCTTTGATGTAGAATCTACTCAGATGAAACTGCTCCAGTTGGGTGCTGAGTGAATGTGCCAAACTATTAAATATGAACACTAGTATTATATTAACATCTTCTGGGCCCCCCATACATCATGACTATTTTGCCAGTGTGTTCTGGCATTAGAGAAGTGGAGTCATCTGAAACTCGTCTTTTTTTTTGTTAGTAAATGTTTCCTGAAATGATAATTTTTAAGCAGATTCTTGGCATTAAGGGARGAGTTTAGAAATAAGTGCGATAATCTCAAAATTCATATGCTGTGACTATCAGCAACTCCTTTTATAAAGTGAATAAAGAACAATTGATGAGCTGTGTGTGTACTTACTTGTACTTAACTATTCCCTTGGAATATTTTCTGCTCTTGGATAATTTGTTTATTTATTTTTAGGAGACAAAACCTCCAAGCAAAGAAATCTGGATTAGAGAAAAAATATTTTAAGGGCCATGCAAGCCAACTGTAACCAACTGCACAGTCCTCCAGGAACTGCAAGTGGTGAGGATGCCTCAGCCTCCCAGTGTACCCATACAAGATTGACAGGAGAAGGTTCTTGTCTTCATTCTGGAGATGTTCATATCCAGATTAACCCCATATCTAAAGAATATGCTGAAAATCCAAGCTCCAGAAATATAAGGTCAGCTGTCCATAGCTGTACCCATGGATGTGCACATAGTCGTTTCCGGAGTCACTCCCACAGTGAAGCAAGGCAGCCTGAGGATACTGCCACGGAGTCTGGAGAACATGGAAGTAGCACCTTCTCAGAATTCCGCTATCTTTTCAAGTGGCTGCAGAAAAGTCTTCCATATATTTTGATTCTGGGTGTCAAACTTGTTATGCAGCATATAACAGGTAGGGTATAATAAAACAATGATTTGCTTAATTGGTAAATTCAGTTATTTTTCTTTATTGGAATTCTATTTTTACCTATGTATTTCAGTTACTTATTTTTCTGTTGGCTTTTAAAATTGTATGTTTTCTTTTAATTCATATTATTAGCTTATATTGTCCTCTTTGTTTTTTTTTTCTTTCAATTAACTGGAACTTATTTTCTAACAGGCATTTCTCTTGGAATTGGGCTGCTAACAACTTTTATGTATGCAAACAAAAGCATTGTAAATCAGGTTTTTCTAAGAGTAAGTATAACAAGCAACTAAAAAATTATTAACTGTTTTCTCTCTATAGAATTATAGAGAAATAATTTTGTGAGAAATAGAAATAGCTTTTGAGAGAAGTAGGAAATCAAATATGTTGCTCCATGACATATTTTGTTATCTAAAATTATCTGTCCTAATACTGATTGCTTCACCTTATTCTCTTTATATATTTGGTTTCTAATAAAGAAAAAGCCAGGCACAACCATGCATGCCTGAAATCCCAGCAACTTGCGGGGGCTGAGGCAAGAGGTTCACAAGTCTGAGGCCAGCCTCAGCAATTTAGCAAGACCCTGTCTCAAAATAAAAAAAGTGCTGAGGATGTAGGGGAGTAGACAAAGGACTACACTATTTGATCTGGTTTGGCAAGTACCTTTTTATTTTGTGAGCTAATTTAAACATAATCTCATTAAAATTTCAACTGACTGACTATAATAAGATTTAAAATAACTAAATAAATTATGGAGCATTGAATAAATAGGTATTGAACTGTTTAGCTCTCTTATTTAAAGGAAATTTAATTCAAGATGTTTTTCTATAATGTAAAAGTCCTAGTCATAAAAATCATGGGAAAAAATAGGAAAAAGTTCATGAAATTTCACCATAAGGCCATATTAAAGAAAGATATCATACATTCTGACCTGGAAATTTATAATAGAACCTGTAAACTAAAAAAACTTTACTTCATGGTTTCAAACTAGTACAGATTGAGTATTCTCTATTCCAAAATGCTTGAAACCAAAACTGTTTCAGATTTGGGGGGATTTGGGAATATTTGTACATACATAATGAGATATCTTGGGAATGGGAACTCAAGTCTAAACAGAATTCATTTCTGTTTTATATACAACTCATAGCCCAATTGTAATTTTATACAGTAATTTTAGTGTATCTGTGTTTTAATTTTAACAGGAGATCAGGTTTAAGAATTGTCCACTTGGGGCTTCATGTTGGTGCACAAAAAGTTTTGGATTTTAGAGCATTTCAATTGCTAACTTTCAGATTAGGATGCTTAACCTATAAAACATTTAATTAAACTTGTAATTAAAACTTAACCTTAGATTAAAAATAAATTATTGAATATCTGTGAACCCTGATTTACTTAAATGCATTTTTGAAATTTGTCTTGTGGAAGTTGCACAAAAAAGGGAACTGAACAGCTAAAGATTGTTTAGGGTAGGTCCTTTATGTCAACTTTTAGATGATTTGGTTTCTTTGAAACATCTTATTTTTCATACAGTGAAGAAACTGTATTTTTATAACTTGTTTCAAATTTTGTTCACTAAAGATAAATAAAACAATGTAGTATACAATTTAATAGATACTTTATATTTTAAGGTTAATCTAGAAAGTTAATGTTAATAAGCCATTAAATTTAAAGTTTAATAACATTTGAAATTCTGGCATAATTCAAAGTAACAAATTATAAAATTGTTTATTTTTCAGGAAAGATCTTCAAAGATTCAATGTGCTTGGTTACTGATATTCTTAGCAGGATCATCTGTTCTTCTGTATTATACCTTTCATTCTCAGTCACTTTATTACAGGTAATTACTAGTTCTAGTATACTTTTTAAAATGTAATCATATGTTCCGCAGCACTCTGCATATATCTTACTTACACATAATACTTATTGTAGTTCAATTTTTACCTGTCTTCTTTAATGATTGAGAGCTTTGAGTGACTTATTCAGACTTGTATCCTTAGTTCCTTGGCACATAGCAGGTGCTCAATAAATATTTAATTTTTTTATAACTGCATTTTTGTTTAATCAGTACTTATTAAGTACCAGTAGGTGGGTATTGTTGTCTTTTTCGGTTTCTAGAAATAAGGCAAAGATTCATTAAAAGACAACAGGTAACAAGTTTTTCTGAATTTTCAGCTTTAGTCAGAAATAATTATGGACAAATGTGGGATATAGTTTAGAGGTAGAGCCAGTACATTGATATGGGTAGGGCTGTGTGGGTGAATAGGTAGGGAAAGCAAGAAAGACTTTGATGGTGGTGTCATTTTATTGGGCTGGGGAAGGAACTAGATTTGAGAGGAAAATCAGTAATTTTGTTTTTAACATGTTAAGCATGAGAAGTCAAGTAGAATTGTTAAGAAAGCAGTTCTAGATATATCATGAGCTCAGGGTAGAGGTTAGAGCTATAAATTTTGGTATGTTAGCAAAGTAATCAGCATTTAAATATGACTGATATTTTAAAACCACAGGACTGAACAGAACTAACCTGGGTAATACAAATAACTATATGGTAATACAAAGAAAATACAAAGAGGGCCCAGTCCTGGACAAGACCCATCATCAGAGTAGCAGCCACAAAGCAGAACAACCAGGAGAGAAAAAAGAAGTTTAGAAAGAACAAGCTACAGGTGCAGCTCAGTGCCTATCATGAATGAGGTCCTGGGTTCAATCCCCAACACCACAGAGGAAAAAAGGTCTACAAAGAAAATAATTTAGGATGAGTAAATGGAAAGAGAAGTGACCTTTAGGTCTAGTGATATAAAGGACAAAAGTAATTCAGTGGAAAAGAGGGGATGTAATCCTGATTGGAAATTGTTAAGAAGATAATGGCGGAAGTCTAGTATACAGGTTTTAGAGTTTATAGGCTACAAAGGTGTCAACATAATAAGCCAGGGAAGACCTTTTTTTATATCATATAAAAGGAAAAGTTCCTTTAAAATAATAATAAAAAAATTATCCTTCATTCCATTTATATGAACTCTGATGTTATCTTGACAAACTCATTTCTACATATCAAATTAAAATATTTGTAGCAAATTTAAAACCCTTTTCAATATTTTACCTTTGTACGTTGCTCTGGTAAATTTTGATGATTTTCTCTTGGTAGTTTAATTTTCTTAAATCCTACACTGGATCACTTGAGCTTCTGGGAAGTACTTTGGATTGTTGGAATTACGGACTTCATTCTAAAATTCCTCTTCATGGGCTTAAAATGCCTTGTTTTATTGGTGCCTCCTTTCATCATGCCTTTTAAATCAAAGGTAAGAAACTAACTGATGCATTATTGGAATGATGTTGGCAAACACATTAATACTGTTTAATCTTTGCTTAAAGATTTTGTAATTTTCTCGTTTGCTAAATAATCTAGTTTTAATTATCTTCATTATCGCTTGGCAACATTTGTTCAAGGACTTGAACCAAAATATTAACCTATTTGGATAAAATGAGAATTACTTTGTTTCAGGGAGGGGAAGAATACAAGTTCAGTAGATTAGACAAGGGGGAATGAAGGGAATGGAGGGGGGACAGGAATAGGAAAAGAGTAGAATGACTCTGACATAATTTTCCTATGTACATACATGAATATACCAGTGAATCTCTACATCATGTACAACCATGAGACTGGGGTCCTAGTTAGAATAAAATGTACTCCATGTTTGTATAAATAAGTCAAACTGTACTGTCATGTATAACTAAAAAGAACAACAACAAACATTTGCTTCAGAAGAACTGAAAAATCAGTCTCCACATCAAATATAAGAAACTATTAATTTGTACTTCTGTTCTCCAACAGGGTACTATCAATTGATAATTGACTATATGCAGTTATTTAGTGGCTTCCCATATTCAATAAAAACAAATTTTTCTAACCGGCAAAAACACAGTACATATAAAACATTTTACTATTTCATTCTGAGGAATACTTTAAAAGCACACTATGCAGTGACTGTAACATGGAAGAATCAGGTTGAAATTGTCAGTCATAATCATAATGAAGACTAATTTCAGTTACTTATATTATTGCATCATGTACTCATGATGTTTTCAGTCCAATATTAAGGATTTTTGCTATGTGTTTAAGTAGCTTGGGTAGTTCTATTTATTTTCTTTTTCCTTTCTTTCTAGGGTTACTGGTATATGCTTTTAGAAGAATTGTGTCAGTATTACCGAACTTTTGTTCCCATACCAGTTTGGTTTCGTTACCTTATAAGTTATGGGGAGTTTGGTAATGGTACTAGATGGAGTCTTGGGATATTGCTGGCTTTACTCTACCTCATATTAAAAGTAAGTAAAATTATAAATCTTGCCACTGCATAATGATTCATGTAATTATTGATTTTACATACTACTACTTTTCTCCTTAACTGTCTTAAGGCTTATCTTTTTTTTTTCTTTTTTTTTTTTTAAGAGAGAGTGAGAGAGGGGAGAGAGAGAGAGAGAGAATTTTTAATATTTATTTTTTAGTTCTCGGCGGACACAACATCTTTGTTGGTATGTGGTGCTGAGGATCGAACCCAGGGCCGCACGCATGCCAGGCGGGTGCGCTACCGCTTGAGCCACATCCCCAGCCCAAGGCTTATCTTCATATCAGTAGTTTGAAGTAACCGCAGGTTCTTTATCAGTTTGTGGTGGCATGTAACTATAATCTCAGCTACTTGGGAGGCTGAGACAGGATTCTGAGTTTGAGGCCAACCTGGGTAACATATAAGACCCTGTCTCAGAAAGAGAGAGAGAGAAAGTGGAGTTCCACATAACATGGATTATCTAAGGGGATAAACAAGTGGAAAAAAACATACCCATCCTCAACAGCAAAGTTTGTTGTACACATAACTCTTAAACTAGTAGAGTGTCTTGTTCTGCTCCCTTTCTGCCTGATCATTTCAAATTAATCACTTTGAGACTTTAAAAATCAAAATGTTAATATGTGAATCAGATGTAGTTGCTTTGTCTTTGACAGGTTTTTATTTATCTTGAACAAACTATAACTATAGATTTTTAAATGTACTTCTTGTTGGCTCAACCCCATAAATATTCATTAATTAGGCTTGAAATATATTTAGAATGAAATGATTATCTCTGAATGCAGTGAGCATTAGGGTAATATGGGAATTGAATATTGTAAGATTTCAGCTTTTGTCTTTGGGTTTAGCAGATAGGACTCTTGAATTAATAAATTATCTCTTATTTCCTCTTTCAGCTTTTGGACTTCTTTGGACATCTGAAAACTTTCAGACAGGTTTTGCGAATATTTTTTACACGACCAGTAAGTACTTTCTTGGTTTTTAAGGAAAAACACTTCTACCTTTCATTATAACATGGTCTTTTTAGATTATTTGCTAGTACTCTGGCACCAGGAGATTTAGTTCTATGTTCAGCTCATTACCAAAAATCATGTCCCTTGCAATTTTATCACTGGGGGAAATGTCCCCATTACACAGTACTAAATATACAAATAATTTTCAGCATGGAATTTAATGATTGAGACTTCACTATCAATTATAAACTTGTTATTATGTGATTCTGTGGATGTTACAGAATACAGAGAAAGGGTATCATACAGAAGGGTAATTCATATTTAGTAGCCTCAAAGATTCCCAATACCTAGGTGTGATCACCAAATTTCAAGGCTTTTTAGTCCATTAGGTCCTTAAACAGTTAATGGGACTGACTTACAAGAATGCCAACCTAATAATGTACTGTTAAAAGTAAAAAGGAGCCATACATAATGGTGCTTGCATGTAATCCCAGCAACTCAGGAGGCTAAGACAGGAAGATGGCAAATTTGAAGCCAGCCCCAGCAACTTAATGAGACCTTGTCTCAAAATAAAAAATAAAAAGGGCTGGGGAATGGGGCTTAGAGATATAGTGCCCCTGAGTTCAATCCATAGTATCCAAACAAAAAAGAATTGTCTAAAAAACTGTTCAGACTAACTAGCCAGGGTACCTTTTCCCTAAGAGCAATATGGAAACAAGTTTTGCTATATCTTATGCACACTTTTCTTTTGGAGAAGATACAGTATATTCAGAGAGTCTGGTTTTGTCCAGGTTAATACAGTTGATTATATGAGAATCAGCCATTTTCCCATAATTGATCTAGTCAGGTTTGTGCTGAAATACCCTTAAGAAAATCTCCTGTGGGTTAGGGGTGTAGCTTAGTGGTAAAAGGTTTGCCTACCATGTGTGAGGCCCTGTGATCCAGATCCAGCATCACAAAACCCAATCAACACTTGAGATTCTTCTCTGTGAGACAAAGAAAGCACAGAGAATCAGTCATTGACACTTTTACTCCTGTCTCCCTGATATCCTGAACATATACATACATGTTCTTTAACTTTATCATGGAAATGACAGTTGCCATCAGGATGTCTTCATCTAAAGGAAGTCTCCAAAATGCCAGACAAAAGTGATGTTTTAAAAGCTTGTCAACATAAATATTTTTGTAATGAACTCCTTTACTAAAGGGAAATTGGCACCAAGATCATTTAACACTGTCCTGACTGACTTCTGAAATCCTTAGTATCACCAGTCTCAAAAAAACAAAAACAAAAACAAAAACAAAAAAACCTTAATTTTTAACATTTTTGTCAGGGCTGGGATTGTGGCTCAGTGGTATGGAAGAGTGCTGGCCTTGCATACAAGGGGCACTGGGTTCGATCCTTAGCACCACATAGGTGGACTCTACCTAAAACTGAAGGATAAATTAATTTTTTTTTGACCTTTGAGTTTTGTTAGCCCTAAACATTTAAGTACAGGAAGTTTAGATCATAATCAAATGTGTTTAAGTAAGTCACTCCTTACCTAACTTCCCATGGCTACTACACTTAGGTGTTCTTAGCCACCCTTGCCACCATCATTTCTACAGAAAGCTCATCTCATTTGTAACATTTTGATTCTTTCAAATTTTGCTAAAGAGTCTTAATTGTCACATCTAGTTCATGACTAAGTCCTGCTGAATTTGGTGAGGAAGTTAACATATTAAAGAGATCAGAAACTTTTTTTTAGGACATTAGAATAAAGGGATATTCAGAGAATTGCACTATTGTTCATTCAGTTAGTTTTGACAGTTATCCCATCCCAATGACATTTTACATTTATTTTCTTAGTAAAATTTGGTTTATCATTCTTTCAAAGTACTAAATGCTCTGACTTTATGATAATAAGAAGTAATTAAAAATCATTTTTAGTTTAGTGGTGAGAAACTGAAACCTCCTTCATGTTGAACTTACCTTGAAGACCTTTCAAAAAAAGATTCCTGAGTCATATTCCAGTGTCTGGGCCTACTGAAACTCCAGTGTAGAACCAGAGATTTTTTTTTTTTTCTTTTTCCCTCCTATATGCTGGGCCTCATACCACACCCCTAGCCAGATATTCTCTGTATGTGTGTGGCACTAAAAATTAGTTTAAAACTAAGGACCTTGTGCATGCTAGGCCAGTGCTCTATCACTGAACTACATCTCTAACCCCAGATACATACACACATACATACATACATACACACACACAATTTTTTTTTTGTACCAGGGATTGAATCCAGGGGAAGTTAACCACTGAACCACATCCCCAGCCCTCTTTTATATTTTATTTAGAGACAGCGTCTTTTTAAAATTTATTTTTATGTGGTGCTAAGGATTGAAACCACTTGCATGCTAGGCAAGTGCCCTATCACTGAGTCATAACCTTGGCCCCGCTAGAGACAGGGTCTTGCTAAGTTACTTAGTGCCTCACTGTTGTTGAGGCTGGCTTTGAAGTCCTGATCATCCTGTCTCAGCCTTCTGAGCTGCGGGGATTATAGCATGTGCCACCACGCCTGGCCCAGATATGTATACTTTTTAAAAAAAATAACTTTTATTTTTTTATTTCTATGTGGTTCTGAGGATTGAACCCAGCATCTCAACGTGTTAGGTGAGCCTTCTACCACTGAGCCACAACCCCAGCCCCAAGATACATATACTTTTAAAATAAGCTCTCCACATGAATTACATTTAACTAGCAAAGTGATAGATTGACTGCTTAATTTGGCAATCCTGGGCAACACTATACCTAGGAAGTATTTGTAAATATTTTTATAAATATTTAGTTATATTTCGAATTGTTTAGGTACTTATAGCCATTTGTGTTGAATTTGAAAACTATTACTGTTTGGGAATCCAGTGGATTTAACAATCTTCCACGATCCTGCTATTTACTATTTAATGATTTCACATTCATGTAGTCAAGATGTAGCTATAAAATGTATCCTATGGAAAAGTTTTGAAATGCCTGATTCCTGGGAGATTTGAGAAGTACACTATCACCTATGTGTTCAACAAACAGGAAAAGAAATTTGTAATTGCAAATAATTTACCTTCATAGAGTTATGGTGTAGCTGCCAGCAAGAGACAGTGTTCAGATGTGGATGATATTTGTTCAGTATGTCAAGCTGAATTTCAGAAGCCAATTCTTCTCATCTGTCAGGTAATTATATTTTTAAGCAAACTGAACACAGTACTTTTCTGTGAATTACAAGTAATATTTATGTTTGTTGAATGGCAAAAAATAACCTACACTGTTTAGTGGAAAGTAGCAGAGTACACACTCGTAATTTATTTATGATTAGGAGTTTAGTAGATTGGCTAAATCTTATCCTTTATGTTCTGATGATTTTTATGCAGGAATATATAAAAGGGGAAAGATTATTCAACTGGCAGATTGGATGCCAAAATGATTAGAAAACAGTCTATTTTTTATAATTAGATACTAGTATTCAAAATAGTACCAACAATGTTATGGAAGTATATATGGCTTTTTCTTAGACTTTACAGAAGTTACTACTATCTCAAAGATTTATTAAGCTCTTAAGTCACCATATTTAAGAATCTTAAAGATATCACCTAGGGATAGCCACATTTTGTTAAAAAAAGGCTAAATGGATAGTAAAGTCAGAAGAATACTAGTGGCTCTACCATTAAAACCACTCTGTCTTCTTGAATACATAATACTTTCTCCATTTTCTCATTTGTAAAATGTGGGAATTAGTGTTTCCAAAATCCCTTTCACCTCTAAAGAATAGGATTATCTACAATATGATGAATGTAAAGTGTTTGCTAATATAAAATCTAGTTCTTAATTCCCTTTACAGCATATATTTTGTGAAGAATGCATTACCTTATGGTTCAACAGAGAGAAAACATGTCCATTATGCAGAACTGTGATTTCAGATCGTATAAACAAATGGAATGATGGAGCCACTTCATCACACCTTCAAATATATTAAGTTGTACAACTGTTAAGGCCACAAACACTAATTTCATTTGGTAAAAAGTGACTATTGATAAAGGCATTTGAACAGATTTTCAGGGCTGGAAGAAAACTGTTTCCAAGTGGTTTTAGAATATAATTTACATGTGTAGTCTGGTTTATCAAGATCAAATGAAAAACCCCTGTGTTTTAAAAAGTATATAATATTCAATCTAAAGAATATACAACATTTGTTCTATCCTAATTATCTGACAGATAATTGCAGTGTTAAATTGTAAATGTGTTCTCTTGTTGATGTTACCAAAACAGAAATTATAAACCGTAACTAGTAGTCAAAGGAATGCAGGTGGGTTGGGGATATTGCCCCAGTGGCAGAGTGCTGGTCTAGCACATGTAAGGCCCTGGATTCATTCCCTACCCCAGAAAGAAAAAGAAGAAAATAGTAATAATAATAATTCAGGTATTCTTTCCTGACATTACAGTATATTTTTCACAGTATTTTAAGATACATATTATTTGAAACAATTTTCTTCAGCATTGACTTTTATAATTCCCATTCTAAAAATGCTTAAAATTTTTCACGAAATTTGTATTTTTCAATTGAATTTCTAAATGCTATATTTTACCTGTAAAAAATACATTTTCTAGATGAAGATTAATTTACTGAGGATGATATATTTTAATATTGTATTATTCTCTATAGTATAAGTAATCAGCAAGAATAAATTATTTAAATTCATTATTTGTGGACCTCATACATGCTTCCTACCATCAGCTTTAATGTTCACAATCTTGCTTTTTGTATAGTGCTATTAAGTATCTCAAAGTAACTATTAAAATAATTCATGCACTGCTTGAGGTGAAACTCAGTAGTACAGCACTTGCCTGGCACATGGGAGGTTCTGGATTCAATCCCCAGCATCAAGCAGGGGAAAAAAAGCTTGTACTTAGGGGTGGTCATAGCTTTGGATAGTGTGGTTTGCCTGCCTCTAGGTAATTTGTTCAGGGTCGTGGAAAAGAAAATAAGGCACTTTGTGTCTCCACTTGATACCTAAATATTAACAGAACAATAAAGGGCTGCTACTGGTTACATCTACAATTAGAGTACAAGGCTTCTGCCTATTTCTTTATTACTATCAATTTGTACAAAGAAAGGATGGTGGGAAGCAAAAGTTAGGAGAAAGCTGAAAACATATTGTAGTATTGGTAAGACAAAGCCTAGACCAGAACATGCATTAATAAAGATAGCAGCCAAGTGATAATGCCTGGAGAACTACTCAAACTGACAAAGGCAACCTTTTACCCTAGGTAAACACTGCCAGGTTATAAGAGTATTTTCTGTCTATTTAGTCACAATATATTTAATTCTCTTTTTTACTTTGAGAATTACCACAAATATTTGAGCAAGTTTATTTGGCCTTAAATCACCTTCCTGGCTTTGTGGCAAAGCTCAGTTGTATTGTTTAGRTATATGGCAGGGAATGGGTGAGAAAAGGAATTTAGGATTAAAATTTGGCTGTGAAAAACAGCTGAAACGACTTCTAGTTCAGAACACAAGAATAGCATTCAGCCCTATTTACAATACCATTTAACCATACCTACTCCCCTAGTGGTTATTCAAACAGTTTGTATTGACTAAATAACAACAGAAGTTTGGACTGTGGTGGGGTTTTACTACAATGAACTGAAAACTGGGAAGATGTAATAGGAGAGCTATGCCATCTATTAAGACAGATGATGAACTAGAAGCATTTTGCTACTACTTTTTAGTCCTTTACCCCAAAGGGAACAGAGCTCCAAAAACCCAATTATTCTGTGAATTCAGATCACAATCTCCAAAAGTTAAAGAGTACCAGCATTAAGAGATGCTACCATCTTTTATAAAAAATCAACATGAGTGAAAACTTTCTGTAGAGGTATTACCTAGGCAAGTGTGATATAAATGTTCATAGAAGAGATGTGGTTTGTACAAAATGGCCATTTTAGAGTAGATGTGAGACAATTAAAACAGTTTGTGGGGCTGGAGATGTAGTTCAATGGAAGAGTGCTTGCCTAGTATATCTAAGGCCCTGGGTTCAATCTCTAGCAAAGAAAAATTAAAAAACAGATTTGTGCACATCAAACTATCAAATGTAGCCCAGTTGGACTGAGGATGTGGCTCAGTAATGGAGTGCTTGCCTAGCATGCAACAGGCCCTGGGCTTGATTCCACCACTGCAAAAGAACAATCAAATGTTGCCAAGAAGCTGGGTGCAGTGGCACATGCCAGTAATCCCAGCTACTGAGGTAGCTAAGGCAGGAGGACTGCAAGCTGGAGACCAGCTGGGGGCAACACAGATTCTGTCTCCAAAAGATAAATATGGCTAAACAAAGAAGATATTTTGTTTGGGGGAAAAAAACTCATAACTTGTTGCATGAATTTTTTAAAAAAGCAAACAATTCAAGTTCTTCTACTTGATACAATTTGAAAATAAAAGATGTGTAACATCCGATATATAAAATCAATACTAAAGCTTGTTATATATTTAAATAGCTTCTATTCTCAGCAGAAACAGTTTTACAACTGTTATTCCTTACGTACATTAATAGTTTATTAAATATGAGAACATGAATACATCTGACTTGTTTAATGAGAAAAAGACTATATAACTAATATGTACACAGGTGTTTCTTCCTCTGTTTAGGTAATAAAAAAAGTCACTTCTATTTTATGTTCATTCAAATTTGCATTTAATTTCTATTTACATTCATTCAATCTGAAACCAAATATCTTAATACAGTAAACTAAATACAAGATGAAAAGCAGAAAAGGTGTTACCCTCATAGCACTCCTAATAAGGCAGCTGAAGAGTTTACTTAATAGATGCAAAGCCAACTTGGGATAATAGAAACATAATAGTTTAAAGAGCAAACACAGAGATGAACCCATCTTTTAGATGTTACTTCAGATATCAACTGAGATAATACTTGTGCTGTAGTGTTAAGAATCACACAAGAAAAGTACTGTATTAATCAGCAACAGACCACAGGTCATGTGTGACAAATACTTTTATGATAGTTTTGTCCAGCTTGCTAGTGTCTACTCCTATGAAAAAAGGCAGATGTTTGGATATTGATATTTTTATTTGAGAAGTTAACCATTTTCAAAGTTTCAAAGTCCATTCTTCATAAATTCAACATTTTTCATGGGGATAATCTTAGATCAAGCCCTTGTAAACTAGGAACCATATGACTAGCTGAATATTCAGAAAAGAAAGGTCCTATATTAAATATGAAATCCAAGGCTTAGGATATTAATACTATCTAAGATGCATCTTGTTTATAATCATTTATTACCTATAGGAAAGAATGTTGAATTTATGGAGTCTCAAACATGCATCCTTCTCCCCCACCCATCAAATTATCTTCTATCTTCAAAACAGTATGGAAAAAATTCTTGAAAGACTCAAATTATTTAAGACCATAAAGGGGAAAAAGAAATAAATAACATAATTTTCCTAAAAATCTGGTTCAAGTTCAATAATTAATACTTTACATTGTTAATCACAGCTGGTTTACAAATCCCAGTTTAGTTATTCTGTAATGCTACAAACCTTATAAAATCAAATTAGTAAACTTCAGTTCAGTGATTACATTTTAATTAAAAAACTGCATGTATAAAATAAAAAAATATCCCATAATAGCTGATTGTAAAGAAAATAATCAAGTGATGAAAGAAAAGCACTTAATCATTTTTATACACTTACCTGGAATAACCATAAAGAACCATCTTAGAAACTCAAGACTAGTAATATTGACATCATATATTTTAAACTATGCTTAAATTTTTACAAATAAATATAGGGTACGCCATATTGCATAGGTGTGTGCTTTCTGTCTGTGGCACTAATGTGACACTTGACATGTTTTCACAGTCATAGTAGGGGTATCCACTTATGAAACACAATTTCTCAATAAACTTGACACAGCATGGGAAATTAATTTCACTTAATAAATGTTAAGTTAGAAAAACTAAATATCTGTGTGGATGGTAAGTGTGCAATTAATGCTTTTTATGCAAAAAAGTTGCAGTGTTTGCCCCTATTGCTGGCACTACTAATTATGAAAACAGATTAACTATAGGGTGTTATAGCCAGCCAATCACAGTGCACATGTTACTAGCAGATAGGACTGAGGAGGAATATTTTGGTGTAAAAGTTTCACTGGAATTTGGTCAGGCAGTCAACACTACAGTTAGTAAACACATTTGAAAACAAGTTATCAGGGTAGCACAAGCCATTTACAGTCTGCAATAATACCTATACATGTCACCATAGCTTTTTGGATTTGTTTTTTCCAGACATCACAATTGTCAGAGAACAAAGATCTGCACATTTTAAGTACAATTTCTGCCCTTAATCATCATGTAGCTTCTATACCAGTTACAATTATAAAATTCTTAGTAGGCTGCTGCAGTAAGAGGGTGGGGTACAGGGATTTTTTTGTTTGTTTGTTTGTTTTAATGGTTTTCTGTCCAAAGATGAACTTTTATCAGTTCTTTCATTATTGCCACAATTGAAAGGTATATTTCCAATCATTTTTCATGATTCTCTTTTGCTTACTGTCATCACATCTCACTTGAGTTGCAATTTAAATAAGCAAAGTTTTTCTCTTTTCTGACTGAATTCAACACGCATAAAGAATTTTATGGCTTGGATCCTATGGCTCAAAAAGGTTTGGAGAACATAGCAAGCAGCATCTATTTAAAAAAATTCTAGGGTTGCAAACTATTACAAATTGACTTTGACACTCAGACTGAATACATTATAAAAGACAAACAAAAAAGAAGTGGTAAGACTCAACTGCATGATCATCTACTTATACCAGTATGYGCTGAAATATATTTTTATAAAGCTCTGCAGATATTAAACCCCTTGACCAGCTAAAGTCATGGAAATGCTCTCTTTAAGGCAGGAAGTATTTAAGAAAGGTAAAGTCACCTTTATTTATTCTTTGTACCTGTAAATCACTTATGTAGATTTTGTTACAATTCAAAAACAGTGTCCTGTTAACATGTTCCCTAAATTAAGCCACTAAGTTTTCTTATTCACTGTGGAAGACATTCATCAAAAGGCCATCAAGTATTTTTACAATCAAAAAAGGTAGCCCCAGTATAGGAGAAAAAAATTAGACCTTTTTTCCTTTTTAAAACTGTTCTGTTAAGGAAAAAAATGTTAAAGAAGGTAGACAGCAAAAACAGTAAAACGAAGTAAAACTTAAAATTTTACCAATTTGCCATAAAGAGATTAGACAGAGAGTGGACCATGGCAACACCCTCTTCCCCTGGATATTCCTATCTTCCCCATTTTGCTGCCCTCAGTATGCATTTTATCCTGACTCTCTTCCATCCTTCCTCAGCCATGGGCTGAACACATTTGG